TCACTACAAATAGAACTTGCACAGCAAAACATTTAGGACAGCAATGGGCTCCAAAACCACACCCCAAGCTAGTCTAGAGCAACACCTTACTTGCAAAACAAAGGCTGTGTTTATGAAATAGATTCTTTTGACTCAAAAAGCCATTGCAAAGAAGCTGGGCATATTTCTTGGTACAATTAAAAAGATAGCAAAGAAGGATTTCAGGTTGATGAAAGTTGACAAACCAAAAGTTCATAAAGTTTTCATTAGAAATATGGCTGAAGGAACTGTAATCATAGCAGTTACATTTAGTTAAGTTAACTCTAGCAAATTTACTTACAGTGGCATACTTAAACATGCTCTTGAAAGCTAAAGTTCGTATGTGATGGCATACTTAAACATGATCTTGAAAGCTAAAGTTCGTATATGATGAAGAGTCTGCAGATAATATGACAAGATGTAGGACTTAAGGCTAACTTCTCTATTCTTACCATTGCAAAAGCTTGTTGCATTGAACTATGGAGTCAGGCAGTAGTGTGTAATCTTTGCCATCAGATAGAACATACAATGATAAAGGAAATAGTTACAAGGACATTAAAGGAGATTCCAGCTACAATATCCAGGGATTATGCAATGTTAAATGACATTAAATGCAAGAACATGAGATTCCATTTACAAAATCGAAGTTTAAAGATTATGTACTGTTAGCAAGATTACATGCTGGAGCATGAGATTCCAGTTGAACTGACCATTATTTGTGCTATGTGAACATGAATTACCACATGAAAAATTGTGAAATTCATCTTGTGCTTTTCTTAGTCCATCTAAACTAAATAATCTACAATAAATTGTTAGTGAACGTTGAATTACTTTAAACAGTAGCATTAAATATGTTTTTTTAACCACAGCATAGCACTATGAGTTTTTTTTGTTTTTTTTCCAAGTATAAACTTTTAGCTCATAGCTCCATCTTTTGACTGATTTGAGAGCTAATTACAGCTGTGGCTGTTGAGGATTCTCTCATGTTTCTCTTTCTTGTCAAACATGTGAAATGCTGTAGTTACCTCATTTTTTTTATTTTGTGAATTAGGATAAAAAAGGTCAAAGTCCTATCTGATCAGTATTTTCCTACTTCCAAACAAATTTCTCTTCTGTGGTTCAGATACACTGATGTCCAACAGATAAGTCTAAAGTAGTTTCAAAATGTAGATTCCAGAAATGTTATCAAGAGAATAAATCCAATAAGGGTAATAAAGGAAAAATAAATATAAGTGAACAAATAAACAAAATCTTTATTCACAATAATATTTGTGTTCACTGACAAACTGGCTAGCTTCTTACTTTTTGTTGTAACTTCAACTGGCTGCCGGACTGAAGATTCTCTTCAAATGTCTGCACTTGACAGAGACAGATGTAAGTCAGCGTCGAGACCTTTGTGGACACCCTACCTTTATAGTTGGCCAAAAAGCCTTAGTACAGTATCCCTCAACTTATTTGGTTGCATACTTCAAATACATGTCCAAGACAATTTGTAGAGGTTTCTGTATTGCCTGTTGGAATCAACTACCTTTATAAAAAGTTTATACATAAACATGTGCATGATAGTTTAAGACATAAGTTGCGGTGTGTAATCTTTACCTATGTAAAAATATTATCACGTTTTTGATATCTGGTATACGAGAATTTTATAACTACATATAAAACACTGAATAGAAATTTAGAAAAATTATCTGAATAGTCTGACTAAAGGTATATTCTGTACTTGCTAGTTATAGAAGAGTGAAATTAGTAGCTGTTTCAGCTGCATCAATAGTAATACTGTTTTGTAGATCAGAATATGTGGCTTCAGTTTGTGTGTGCTTTCATTTAGAAGTACAGTTGAATGGTAGGAGGTACTTATGTTTTGTTAGATATATGTTTATAGGTGTTTAATTATCATCCATTTAGGGACATTCTAACCCTTTAAATGTGAGGGTTTTGTGATCGTATAGTTGTCCTGATTAAAAACAGCTTTAGCATCAGTATTTAACTTTGCAGACCAAAATAGTTAGGCTTAACTTAACCCCTTTAATATTCTAAACTTTTAATAGGCCACTCACAATTTGCACATATACATTCTGACTTCTTTTTAAC